CAAGAGGCAACTGGACTTCCTTTGTTTTTCTTTGAAGACCTTTTGCTTCTCCTCCAAGAAGCATCTTCAGTTCTTCAGAAGGCCAACTGGATTTTGTTCTTCCTTGAAGACGTTTCGCTGAAGAACTGAAGATGCTTCTTGGATGAGAAGCGAAATGTCTTCAAGGAAAATGAAAAAAAAGTCCAGTTGCCTCTTGAAAAAGCACCTTTGGGAAAAAGCGTCAAGGTGGAAGACCCAGGGTGGAAACCAAAGACCAGCATGCTACTACAACTTTTACGATACAATTATACTAAGGGAATCTTGTGAGTCTGAAGACTTTTCCCCCTACCATTATCCCATTGCTGGAGGTTTTAAAAAAAGAGACTGGACGATCACCTGTCCGAGACGATATAGGTCCTCCTGCTTGAGCAGGGGGCTGGACTAGAAGACCACCAAGGTCCCTTCCAGCTCTATTCTATTCAACGTCTTCACAAGAACATGGGAGAGAGGTGTCTGAGACACTGTTTCAAGTTCCCGCTCTAGCCTGAACTCAGATTTTCTCTTCTCTTGTCTTGATTGTGATAGAATCAAGATCAGGTGAAGTGTTAATACCGCTTTACAAGGCCTTGGTAAGGCCACACTTGGAATACTGCATCTAGTTTTGGTCCCCATGATGTAAAAAAGATGCTTAGACTCTAGAAAGAGTACAGAGAAGAGCAACAAAGATGATTAGGGGACTGGAGGCTAAAACATATAAGGAACGGTTGCTGGAATTGGGTATGTCTAGTTTAACGAAGAGAAGGACGAGGGGGGACAGGATAGCCGCCTTCCAGTATCTCAGGGGCTGCCCCAAAGAAGAGGGAGTCAAGCTATTCTCCAAAGCACCTGAAGGCAGGACAAGAAGCAACGGGTGGAAACTGATCAAGGAGAGAAGCAACCTAGAACTAAGGAGAAACTTCCTGACAGTGAGAACAATTAACCAGTGGAACAACCTGCCTCCAGAAGCGGTGAATGCCCCAACACTGGAGCCCCCCACCCCAGCATTTAGGATTCAGTTAATGCAACCCTTTATTGTCAACTTTGGAGAAGATTGTCCCCAGACGCTGGGAGCTCTGCAGAGGAAATCACTCGTCATCAACCTCCTTCTGGGTTGGCGCCCCAAATGTGGACATCCAACCACAGATTAGCAACTGTGCAGTGTGCTGCACAACCACACGCACACGCACACAAACCCGCGCCTCCGGTTCCATGTCAAAAGCAGGCGGAACAGCTTCCGCGGAGGAGCCGCGGCGAATGCAACAATCGGTTGCTGATGAACTTAAAAACGTCTTACACAACTCTGCCCGCCCTGCACAATTGGATTGCGGTTGTCGGCTTCCCCTGGCGCCCGTCCGACAAGAGTCAGCACGCCTTTTGTGGCGTCTGCCGGTTCCCAGGTTCAACCTCTGCAGGGTTGCAAATTCTCGGCTCGCTTAATTTTTTTTTAATTTGCTGGAAAAACTAGTTGAGCCAGAAAGATCCGACGGATTGGCATCAGCTTAAAGGGGGCGTTGGTGGAAATCTGGCACGTTTGCAAAGAAAGATGGCCGGGGAGGGGGGGGGCTTTATGCCTGGAAGGGTCAGCCTGACACAAAACGGGGCTTCTGGGAAAATCCAACAGCTGCCTCAAGCGAGCCACATTTTTGAAATGTTTAGCAAAAAGAGATCCCACCGTTGGCTCTTTCGGCACCAGCCTTCAGCCCCAAAACTCAAGTTGCGTTTCAGACAGAAGAAAGGGTTTTGTTCGTGGCTGCCAGCCTGCGGAACTCCCTGCCTCATGAGATCAGATTGACCCCCTTTTTTGACGTCCTTTGCCAAACCAATTAAGACATTCCTATCTCTGCGAAGGCGTTCGATGCACAGCCAGCCCACGCACGGCTGATGTAATCTGCCGGCGTTTCCTGACACTGCCTTCTGGTGTGTGTTTTGTTTTTTTTTTCCTTCTCTTAATGCCTTCCTTACTTTGCATATTTTTTTTCCTCCCAAAATCTGAGAGTCACTTTAGAGAGTTCAGGGATAAACAAAATAATCCCCGGGGAAGCAGGACACGATGCCAAAGGTTCAGCAGACACAACATTAAATAACATTTTGGGCTCGTTTTCTCCTTTTTGCTCTTTGCCAGCGCCCAGTTAGAAAAACAAAGAAGAAGAAGAAAAAAGACAACTGCTACAAAGCAAGAAAAGGAATTCCCCAAACCTTAGCAGGTTGATTTATTTTTTCAAAGTTAAATCAAGATTCTTCTTTCTTTCTTTCTTTCTTTCTTTCTTTCTTTCTTTCTTTCTTTCTTTCTTTCTTTCTTTCTTCTTCTTCTTCTTCTTCTTCTTCTTCTTCTTCTTCTTCTTCTTCTTCTTCTTCTTCTTCTTCTTCTTCCCCTTCCCCTTCCCCTCCTCCTCCTCCTTTTTCTTCTTTTCTTCTTCTTCTCCTTCTTCTTCTTCTCCTCCTCCTCCTTCCTTCTTCCTCTCCTCCTCCTCCTTCTTCCTTCTCCTTCCTCCTTTCTCTTCTTCTCCTCCTCCTCCTCCTTCTCCTTCTCCATCATCATCCATCATCCATCATCTTCCATCATCATCTTATATTATCATTATTATTATTATTCATTAGATGTGAACCTAATGAATAATAATAATAATAATAAATTAAGATGAAAGATGAAAGATTATGGATTATTATTATATTATTATTATTATTATTATTATTATTATTATTATTATTATTATTATTATTTTGTGCCTTTTTTCTGCTAATACCCAGAGGTCAATTTTTGCTTTAACCTGATTGTCGAACAAGCTTATTTTATGGTGCAGAGAGAATGCCAGGGAAGGGACCTATGGCCGTTTTCCACACTTACGACCGTTGCAGCCTGCCCCGTGGTCACGTGATCAAACTCCAGCCGTTTGCCAACTGACTCGTATTTATGACGGATGCGGTGTCCCAGGGTCATGTGATCCCCTTTGGCGACTTGGCTCATATTTATGACGGCTGCAGCGTCCCCGGGATCACCCAATCTTTTTCCAACTTTCCGACAAGCAAAATCCGTGGGGAGAAAGGCAAGAGCCAGATTCATTTAACAACCACGCGACCCGATGCAGCGATTCGCTTAACAATTGTGGCCAGGAAAGGTCATAAAATGGGGCAAAACTCAACGATAGCAACAGAAAAAATTTCTGAGCTCAGTTGCCGTCGTTAAGCCGAGGACCACCTGCAGACCAAAAGGGAAGGGGGAAGGAAGAAACGCCGCAGACTTACGTAGCGTCCCGCTTGATCGTCTTCACGAAGATCCGGAGGAACTGCCATCCACTGGAGCCCAAATAGAATATGACAAGGGCTGGCACCACTTGAATCCAGGGCAGGTCAAAAAACAGCCGGAAAATGACGGACATTGATAGGAGGCTCACCCAACGCATCATATTGGCCTGAAAGAAAAAAAAAAGAAAAGAAAAAAACAGAAAAAGAACATATTTCTTAATCTGGATGAATCCATCTCTCTTCGCCGAATCGTTCCTTAAATTAATTTGGAAAAAAATTACCCAGTGGAACAGCTTGCCTCCAGAAATCGTGGGCGCTCCCTCACTGGAGATTTGTAAGAAGAGGCTAGACAGTCACCTGTCTTGAGATGGTATAGGTTCTCCTGCTGGAGCAGGGGGCTGGACTAGAAGACCTCCAAGGTCCCTTCCAGCTCTGTTCTATTCTAAATATATCAAATGGGACCCAACGTACTGTGAAAAATGCAGGCTCCTGCTCTTGGTTAACCCTTCTGTTCCTCCAATTAGCGAATTTTTTCCTTCCCTTCTTTCTTCCCTTCCCTTTCTCCAAATGGAGGGAATGCTATTCGGATCGCCACCTGATTAAAAAGACCAAAAAAAAAAAAAAAAGGTCCGCAGATTTAAGTCAAAAGTCCAAAGGCAGTCCAGGGCACAATTACTGCTATGACAAGAATTATAATACTGTAATTATAATTACAAACTCCAGCCTCCTTTGAAGAGGGTAGATCCTCTGCAAGATAGGATCCCTCTTGGGTTTTTCTTGATTGATCGCCAAGTTGATCTCCCATCTTTATGCTGGTTATGACCGTAATAAAGATTGATTTGAATTGATTTCCAGCCTTCAGGAGTATCAGAAGATAGCACTGGTAACCTTTGCTCTCAAGCTGAGTTTGCTTCGATTTTTGGCAGATATTTACATGTGTGCATGTGAATTATTTACTTAGCCAAGGCCAAAAGACTCTTATTTTAAATGAAACATACTTTCCCAAGCTGAATACCAGCATCAAACCCAGCAAGGCAGACGTTACTGGGGCTCCAGACCAGCACATGGCAAGGAAATGTTGAAAGGCGCAGACCGCAGAAGAAACTCGACAACAAATTAAAGACTTTAATTAAAACTATTAAAACCGGAGTAAAAAAAACATTTCGCTGCATTCATTTGCCCTTCGCTTCAGTGTAAATCAAATGCTGCGGGGATCCAACTTTCTGTCCCTAAAACAGGGACAGGTGAGCAGGTTTCATTCCAAAAGATAAAGCAGGAAAAATGCAGAGTTTAAAAATGCAGAGTTTAAAAGCTGGCGGGGAAAAAAATATTACACCTTGTCCAAGCTTATAAATCACATGCCTTACGGGGAAATCAAAGAAAGAAGTCTAATTTTAATTCTAAAAGTTCCCTGCAGGATGAAAACGTTTTTAAGAAAAGCAAAGTCATGCTAAAAAGTAACTGAGCATCCTAGTTCTTGAGATGCTGATGGAAAAGTCATATCCATAGCAATTTGCCCTGGAAATCCATCTTTTTTGGGGATAAAACCACCCAATCCAGCCTTCCAGGTCCACGGTCCTCAAAGATTCCTTAATGTTTCTGGACCCCTTCTTCGCCTCGTTCGGGGCAGAGACAGGACTCAGAAGCCCCCAAGGAAGTCAAGGTAGCAAAGATAGGAAGACACCCAACTAGAATTGAGTCACCCTCCTTAAAAATAAAAATTAATTAAATCACTGGCTGCCCAGGGCGTCTTGGAAGGATGGGGAGAAGGATTTGCAAACCACAAAAGAGATTACGGATTTCAGCCGGTCTGCTGGGATCAAGAGAAATTAAAAGTTTCTCCTCTTTTATCCCAAAGGACGTTCTGATCTGCTTGGCTTCACGTACGTACAAGTTCTAAGTCCAATGTTTGGAAAAATGTCTTCTCTTCCAGGACCAACCCAAACTTGATGTCCATAGAGGTTCAATTCATCCAGGTCATAGTTGACCCAAAGGTGCTTCCCCCCCCCCAAAAAAAGGCAAATGGACTCTGTTCTTCCTTGAAGACCTTTCGCTTCTCATCAGAACTCAAGAAGCTTAAATGGACGAGAAGCGAAACATCTTCAAGGAAACACAAAGTCCAGTTGCCTTCTGAAGAAGTGAAGAAGCTTCTTGGAGGAGAAGCGAAATGTCTCCAAGGAAAAAACAAAGTCCAGTTGCCTTTTTTGGGGGGAAAAAAGCACCTTTGGGAGAATCCAAACTTGAGGATAATGGTCAGAAAGGATCCCCACCCTTCTCCCGGATAGAAGGACATCAACATGATTTTCCTCATCCCAAACTGTCGTTTTTTCCTCTAATATCTACCCTCTTTGTGGTTTCCACCATCTCTAGGGAGTTTTGAACTCTCTCTCTCACCTGCTTGCCTGGGGCTGGTGTCTTGGCTTTGCTGGTGCCCAGAACTTCCTTTTGGAGGCCACCACAGGACCTAATCAGTCGCCACGGTCCTCACCTCTGCTGCTACCTTCTTGAATATGCTCAGGAGACCAGATCTGCATATGCTAAACAGGCGTCTCATTTCCAGCTGAAGCATCCTCTCCCAGGATTTGGGCCAGGCCCTCCCTCTCCAGATTAGATGCTCAGCCTTCTAGGCTGTTTCGCTCTTGGGCAATCGTACCCCCCCCCGTGGGCCCTCTCCAAAGCTCCATACTTGGCTAAGCAGAAAATTATGCCCTCTACACACCTTGCCAGCCTCGCCTCTACCGATGGCACAATAACACCTTGTTTCTCCCGTGGAGCCAAGGGCATCCAGGTGAATCTGATTTTAAAAACATTTCTTCTCCTCTCAGGTTTGCCCCCTTCTTCCATCTTCCTGCCTACAACTGCGGCAATCAAACTGGGTTTTCTGACTCCAAATTCTGCCAGGTTTGCGGATCTCCCCTTTTTAAAAGTTATCGAGCGTTGTTGTCCTTAATAATGCATTGTCTTTTACAAATGGCACAATTCCTTTCTCTTCCTTCTCTCATCCTACTTCCGGGATCACCGTTCTGCTATCAGTTGCGGTTCACACAACTTCCTAACCCCTTTAGCGGAACTGAAGTTTTCAGAGTTCACTCAACTTGGCTGTTTTCCCCCGCTCCCCGTACACAACGGGCCTTAAATTCATCACACAAACAGGCTTTGGAAACCCCCCACAAGGCAGTGTCTGGTTTTATCAAGGTTCAGAAGGAATCCGAAAGTTTTAGCCTTCGCCTGATCTCCAAAATAATTTTGACTTATCCACGGATTCACCCCGAAAACCTTCTGGAACCTCAAGAGGCTTCTGACTTATTACCATTTTGCTTGTCCTCAAAGGAGGAAGGAAAACCCAGCTAAATTCCTCTCTGAGACCTTCCAAAAAGCCGGAAGAAAGTTTCCGCTTCCAACAGGCGGAAATCAGAAGCACGAAGAGGAGGCTTTGAATCGCTCAGCAAACTTGCAAAACGTGATTTGAACTAATGAAACGTATTGGCTCAGAGCTTCCCACTCCTTGCCCTGTGCCAATTGTTATTTGTTTAAAGAAATCCTTGTGTGTGTGTGTGGGGAGGGGAAATGCCCGTTTTAAGTCACTGGAGGTTTTCAAGAAGAAACTGGACAGCCATTTATCCAGGGGGTTGGACTAGATGACCTCCGGGGGTCCCTTCCAACCCTGTTATTCTACGTTCTAAGTAAGGCCCCGAAGCTGACTAAATCAGCGCAAATATTTTATAACCACGAGCATATATATACATACATCATACATACATACATATATACAAATATATATACTGTATATATCGACCTCTCCCTACCCAGGGGGCTGGTTCCCAGCAGACTGGCTGGAAGGCGATGGGCTTTGTAGTCCAGGCTAGTCTTATTTTGCAATCTCACCCCGCATTTTTTTTTTTTTTTTTTTACTGCAGGGGTGGAGAGCCTCTTCCAGCTGTCTCGTCACTGTTTGATGCACCGGGGAGCTTAAAGATGATTTAAAATCCATGGGGAAGGGTCCCCGTTTTTCTCCTCCTATTCGTCCCCTCCCCCTTCCTTTCCCCAATACTCTGACTTGTTGGCAAACAGATCAGCACACGGAGCATGATCAACACACACGCAGACCCACAAATACACTCTTGCCTATTGCATCGGTATGCAAACAGGCACGGGGGGGGGGGGAAACAACTCCTATGCACCATGGATACCCCTCTGTTTGGGAGACCCCCTAGTCACCCCAACCAGGGGGGGGGATACTTCTGGATGGGCAAGGATTTTGCTGCAATGCCTGGGAAGGGAGGGGGGGTGCATTGTTCGCTTGCCCCCCCCCGCTGGGTCTGGCCTACCCCCCCCACCAGCCCACATTGGGAAGGAGGGGGGACAGATGGGGAGTGCAGTCCCCCCACCCCACCCAGGAAGGGGCAGTCTCGGTTCCTTTGGGGGGTGAAGAACCAGGCTGGAAGGGCAGGGGGTTTGACCCAGGACTACCTGATCCCCCCCATCCCAAAGAGTGTGTGTGTGGGGGGGGGGGTCCTCTTCTCTTCACCTCCCCCCCTCCCCAATCTGGACTCCTATTTAATTAGAAGGGAGAAAGGATGGATGGCACGGGTGGGGGGGAGGCCTGGAGGTGGGGGGGGAATCACCCCCTTTTGTTCCCCCTCCCTCCTCGCAGTGGGGACCCCCTGGGCGCGCCCCGCCCCGCCACCCACCTGCGGCCAGTCTCCCCGCATCCCTTTGGAGGCGAAGGCGCTGCTTGCTCCGATCCAGCCCCTGCCAGGCAGTCCCCAAGCGCAAGGATCGGGCTCTTCTTCTTCCTCCTCCTCCTCCTCCTCCTCCCGGCAGATCCCAAATCTGCTGAGCCACCGGCCTTTCCTTCCCGTCCCGGCTTGCACCTGCCCTGCCTTCCCCCATGCGAAGGGCAGCGGCGCCGGCGGGAGGAGGAGGAGGAGGAGGCGTAATTCCGAAGCAGCCTCCGAAGTGATGCCAGATTTAGACGCTGCTCCGGCTCTGGCGCTTGCAGCGCCCAGAGGACCCTCCAGGGGGCGCCCTCGGCCCTCCTCCCGCAAGGCACGGCGGGAGTTGGAGTTCCTCCCGCCTTCCCAGCCACGGGAGAGGGGGGGAGGCTGTATAAAGCGGGGCGATCCAGAATTGCACGGGAAGGGGGGGTGCACACCCGTGCAACCTCCGTGCACACGACGCCCAAAGCGTGCAGGCGGAAGCAAGGGGAGGGAGGGTGGGTGGGGGGCGTCTTTGGGTTTTTCTGCCCCCCCCCCGCCCTCCGTGCAATTCGGGGCAATTTGCAGGGAGAGCCCCCCTGGGCCAAGAAACGAAGCGACCCCCTCCCCTCGCTCCCTTTTACACCCGTGCAGCCCCCGTGCACACGACGCACAAAGCGTGCAGGCGAAAGCAAGGGAAGGGAGGGCGGGGGTCTTTGGGTTTGGCGATCCAGAATTGCACGGAGGGGGGGGGAACACTCCAAAGGGGGAGGACGCACCCGTGCAACCTCCGTGCACACGACGCACAAAGCGTGCAGGCGGAAGCAAGGGAAGGGAGGGAGGGCGGGGGGGGTCTTTGGGTTTTTCTCCCCCCCCCCCGCCCTCCGTGCAATTTGCAGGGAGAGCCCCCTGGGCCAAGAAACGAAGCGACCCCCCCTCCTTCCCTTTTACACCCGTGCAGCCCCCGTGCACACGACGCACCAAGGGTGCAGGCGAAAGCAATGGAAAGGAGGGCGGGGGGTCTTCGGGTTTGGCGATCCAGAATATGCACGGAGGAGGGGGGGAACACGCCAAAGACCCCCGCCCACGGCTTTGCACCCGCGCGACTCCCGTGCACACGACGCACAAAAGCGTGCAAGCGAAAGCAAGGGAAGGGAAGGCGGAGGGGGGGTGTCTCCTTCTGCAAAGGGGAAGGGGCGGCGCTGCTCCGTGGACCCCAGCGCTCCCCAACGGAGGCAGCTCCGGGTTCCCCTCTCCACGCGTGGTCAATGCAAAGAGAAGTGGGGGGGGGGAGAAACAGCTCGGCTGGGGCTTATGGGCCGCCGCTTGTGGGGGGGAGAGTCCGGAGCAGAGGGCGCGCAGGCTGCGCTGCGAGAGCGCGTGGGGCTCTGTGGCGCAATGGATAGCGCATTGGACTTCTAGATCTAAATGACGGGACGGAGTCATTCAAAGGTTGTGGGTTCGAGTCCCACCAGAGTCGCGTGTTTTTTTGTTTTTTGGGGGGTGGTTTTATTTTTGCAGTTTAAAGAAGCAAGGAAACGAATCGCCGCTTTTGGAAAGTTACGGCAGGAAGGGAAAAGATGAAAAAGTAAAAAAAAAAGAGAAACTTTGGGAAAAGTTTCCTTCGGCGGGTTGCACGCTTTCTCACGGGACGGAGAGAGAGAGAGAGAGAGAGAGAGAGGGAGGAAGAAGGGAAGTGGAGGTCCTTCTGCCCCCCTTCTGCCCCCCCCCTTTGCTTCGTTCCCCTTACTCCCTTTGGACAACTATTTGTTTGAAATGTTATGGGGTCTCCTGCTTGAGCAGGGGGTTGGACTAGAAGACCTCCAAGGTCCCTTCCAACTCTTGTCATTCTATACTGGGCTGTGCTATTCCTCCGCTGCGCTGCTCCCCCCACCCCCGCCAGCCAAGAAAGCAAGGAAAGATGTGGAGGGTTACTGTGCGCCAACCGGGCGCACGCGGGCGCACGGCTGGAAGCGCCAACGCGAGCGCAAAAAAGCCTTCGCATCCACGACGCGAGCAGGGACCCCCAGGCGAGGGAGGGGGAGACACGGGCGGGTTTAGGGTGTCGGACGAGGGGGGAGAAGACCCCCGAAGAAGAGAGAGAAAAAAAGAGAAAATCGGAAGGACGGGCATTGAGCAGGGGGCTGGACTAGACGACCTCCAAGGTCCCTTCCAGCTCTATCCAGATTTATTGGGGGGGCGGGGAAGAGCAGCCAACTTGCGTGGCAGCTGGCATGGCGAACCAGAAGGCATCAAGATGCTTATCCTGCACGCTGGCCGGGTTCAAAACCAGCCAAATAATTGAAACAAGTTTTAAACTTTCAAATCTTGCTTTCCCCGATTTACGTCCGTTCGTTTAGTGACCGTTCAAAGCGACAACGGCATCGAAAAAGAAGACGACTCGCGGACTGCTTGTCACCCTTTCGGTCACGGGATCAAAATCCAGACACTTGGCAAGTGACTCAGAGTTATGACGGTCGCAGCATCTCGTGCGATCTCCTTTTGCAACTTTCCGACAAGCAGCGGGTGTGTGTGTGCCAGTTTCACTTAACAACCGTGTTTTCTAACAATGGCAGGAATTCACTTAAGAAATGCGGCGGGAGGGGTCGTAAGAAGGGGCAAAATTCACTTAACGTTGTTTCGCTTAGCAACAAACCCTGGGGGGGGTGTAAGTCGGGGACTTCCTGTAATTGAAGAAAGTTTGAAAGTCTTCCAATCTTGCTTTCCACGGAGACGCAACGGGCACTATAAGGGAGAGGAAATTGTTTCATTGCTACCAGCCTACTACCTCTGTGTAATTATGGCCTTACGTACAGGTATTTCGCATAGTTTATTTTTTTTAACCTTATCTATGACTATATAATAGATTCCTTCCTGATTGGAATACCTAACGCTGTATTCATTCTCCTTCGCTCACACTCACCAAAATATTTATTACCATAAAAGTTGTCCTTCTCCCTTGAAGCCAAGGTTGGTTTAAATATGGTTTGCTGAATAAACCCCAGTGTGGGAGCCAGATCCACTGAACCAAGTTACTAGTATTACTACTACTACTACTACTAATAAAAGTTGGAAGGGACCTTGGAGGTCATCCAGTCCAACCCCCTGCTCAGGCAGGAAACCCTATACCATTTCGGACAAATGGCTGTCCAGTCTCTTCTTAAAGACTTCCAGTGTTGGAGCATTCACCGCTTCTGGAGGCAGGCTGTTCCACTGGCTAATTGTTCTCTGTCAGGAAGTTTCTCCTTAGTTCTAGGTTGCTTCTCTCCTTGATTAGTTTCCATCCGTTGCTTCTTGTCCTGCCTTCAGGCGCTTTGGAGAATGGCTTGACTCCCTCTTCTTTGTGGCAGCCCCTGAGATATTGGAAGACCGCTATCATGTCCCTCCTCGTCCTTCTCTTCATTAAACTAGACAGACCCAATTCCAGCAGCCTTTCCTTATATGTTTTAGCGTCCAGTCCCCTAATCATCTTTGTTGCTCTTCTCTGTACTCTTTCTAGAGTCTCAACATCTTTTTTACATTGTGGTGACCAAAACTGGATGCAGTATTCCAAGTGTGGCCTTACCAAGGCCTTGTAAAGTGGTATTAATACTTCACGTGATCTTGACTCTGTCCCTCTGTTAATGCAGCCTAGCACTGTGTTGGCTTTTTTGGCAGCTGCAGCACACGGCTGGCTCATATCTAAGTGATGGTCCATTAGGACTCCAAGATCCCTTAATTTCTTTTTGGTTCCCAAAGCCCTGGAACTGCTAAATGTTTCTTTTTAAAAAAAGATGCGTTATTAAATCGTACAGCAAGGAATTCCAAGCTACGGTGGCTGGCTTTGAACCCGTGTTTTAGCAGCCGTGTTTGAATTTAGACCATCTTTATGGTCCATAAAAAAAGGCTTCCCGTGAACAGCCATGGATAACAAGATCGTTCATAATGAAACTGTGCTCGCAGAGATTACCCTGATATTTATTAAACCTCAGTTTGTTGAACCAGCACCAGTGGCTCGATTCACAACAAACAAGCCACGTTTTTGGCTTTAAGCACGTTGTGTGAACCATGCATTGTATAATGAATAGTTTGCAAACAGAGAAATCTGTGACTCTGCTCTTTCCAAAGGATGCAGAACCGAGAGCTGCAAATTTTATTGAAAAACTGAGATGAGAAACCACGTATAAAGATATTTAAGAAGAAGGTTTGGGATATTTTAAGGAACCAGAAGCCCTGGAACAGAAGATAAAATCTGCAAAATATCACCACCCTATTGAGAATATAAACAGAACTTAGTTCTGCATATTTGTACCTGCCCTAGAACACAAGTGGTTGTTTGCGATAGTGGCGAATATTTGTGGTTGTGCAATCCAACTTTATCACTGGCATTCGATCTGCTTTATAGAGGGGAATTCTTGTAAACAACTCAAGGCAGAAATGAGATGTCTCCTGTCCTTTCCCAGGCTGGGCATCCAAAAAAAAATCATCTTGAGTTTGAGCAGCAGGAAAGGATGAAAATATTTCGGAAAAGATTCAGGCGAGGCTTTGAAGAGCATCCTAGACCAAGTTGAGGGACTCTCTGATCCAAACCCACAAAGGGTGTTTGTCAGAATGAAAGCGCTAAGACATTATTCCAGTTTGGCTTGTGAAAACTCCGCCATAAAACGACACGTCTACATATCTTAGGAGCCGAGATCTAATTGCGGTAGCTGTTTTCGTCCTTCAGTCTTTCCTGCCTTGGGACCATCAATATTTTCTCCATTTCTATTGTCAAAGTTTCCATATTTCTGGGTTTCGTTGTGATGTTTTTGCTTTTCTCCTCTTTTAAGCGTTCTTTTAACAGTCCAGGCCGAAGTAAAAGTTGGGGACGTCCACTGATGAAGGAAGAGAGGGCCCCAAGACACCGTAGACCTGGCCAGAGGATTTAATATCCAGGATTTAATTCCGTAGCTTCCTGAAAAGGGATGGCCTCCATCAGGTGTTCCTCCTGTTTCAGCCACGGAAACTCAAAAATGGATCCCAGGAGGCGGCAAAATGCCGATTTCACGGCGAAGAGACTCCACCGATTGCTCCCAACGCTTCTCGTAATAAAAATTCAAGATGCAGGTGGCGTTTTGTCCGCTCTGAACGGCCCACGGGATAAGCTCCCCGGTCAGAAGCCGCCACTTTCTGAGGAAAGGAAGGGAAATAAAAATGGGGGGGGGGGAATTATTTATTAATTTTACTTTATTTTATTTTTTAAAAAAAGAAAAGAAAACAAGAAAGTAGAAAGATTACAACCGCTACGTTTTAGACTCAAAAAGTCTTCGCTCCTGGACAGCCGACCTATATAAAATCTTCTTAACAGGTGGTGACCTGTTTAATCCGATTTAATCCTAGCGGTTTTAACCGAGCCCTGTATTAAAATTTAGGCATCAGAAGAAGATTGCATTTGTCTAGTCCAGGGGTAGGCAACTTTGGCTCTTTTATGACTCGTGGACTTCAACTCCCAGAATTCCTGAGCCAGCGTGGGGGAACTATGGCCCCCTCATGACTCGCGGACTTCAACTCCCAGAATTCCTGAGCCAGCACGACTCAACTTGGAAACCTCTCCCTTTCCCCTCAGCATAGCTGGCTCAGGAATTCTGGGAGTTGAAGTCCACGAGTCATAAAAGAGCCACGGTTGCCTACCTCTGGCCTAGGCCTAGGCCGCTTCATGACTGATGGACTTCAACTCCCAGAATTCCTCAGCCAGCATGGCTCAGCTTGGAAACCTCTCCCTTTCCCCTCAGCATGGCTGGCTCAGGAATTCTGGGAGTTGAAGTCCATGAGTCATAAAAGCCAAGGTTGCCTACCTCTGGCCTAGGCCTAGGCCGCTTTATGACTCGTGGACTTCAACTCCCAGAATTCCTGAGCCAACATAGCTCAGCATAGAAACCTCTCCCTTTCCCCTCAGCATGGCTGGTTCAGGAATTCTGGGAGTTGAAGTCCACGAGTCATAAAAGAGCCAAGGTTGCCCACCCCTGGACTAGTCTATTTCGCCAGATTGTTTTTAGGGCAGGATAGTTTAAAAATCAGACAAACTGCTCAAACAATATCATTTCCTTCTGTTTAATTTGACTTTTTCCATGGATTTCATAGCTGCTACGATCTTGCAAATGGTTAATCAGGCTACAAAGCAGTGCCTGATTAACGCTTACGCTTTTTTGCACGCATCATACAGCTGCAGAAACGCCAAGAGAAAATGTCAAGGCAAAGAGGCCAAACTTCCTAATATGTTTGGGACATGCTTTATCCGGGATGCTTTTTGACATAAAACAAGATCTTTGTAAGACTTTTGCAAATCCCGTCTTTTGTGCAACCTGTAATCCTCTCGGATTTTTTTAAAGATTAAGCCAAAACCAACAATTAGAAGTTACGGCAGGTGCCGTCACCTCGAAAAGGGCAAGGCAGTAATTTTGAAGGTGTAATTAGCAAATCGAATCAATCAATCAAGGATAAAAGTTTCACCCAAGCTGCCTGGTGCAATTGTTGCCTGCATCGTGATTTCAATTGGAAGGTATGCCGGCCAGCAAGTTTGCATTTATAAAATCCTCGACTTACCGGGTATTTAAACGTAAAGGACCAAAGAGCGCTCCCAGAATGCACATGGGCAGACCGGTCTGGACAGCCTCAAACCACTTGACCACCACTTCGCCTAAGAAAGGGAGAATCGGGGAAGCAAGAAAATCAGTTCCTCCGCCTTTAGAAGTACAGAACCATCGAAATGAACGATGGAACGCCGGTTAGAGAAACGTGGTTTATACCCAGCACAGGAAGAAAACATCAGAAAGAAACTTGAAGTCTTTGCCTTATCTCTTTTGGGGATGAGAAGCAGACAAAATGCTTTTGAGATTTGGGTTCTACGGCCTGGATTGGCAACATAAAAGTTTGGACTCAATTGTGGCCGTAGGTCAAGGACCACTTGTACGATCTCTTCCGGAGTCTTCTTTCCTGACCTAATCTAGCTTGAAGGACCCATATTCAGTAACGACACTTCAGGTGAGTGGTATAAATCTGGGTTTCAGAGAGACGGGCTTCTCCCTCCGTCTTCCAAGCCTCAAAAGAATTGTGTGAGGTGAGCAGCGAGTAAGTACAACTTTTGCAACCTCAGACTATTGATTGAAATCCAGCACACGAGCTTCCAGGTTTGGGCCTCCAAAGGTTGGTGAACGTCAACTCAACCATCTCTTGGGTCATCATTTTGGCTGGGGCCCACCGGGAGCGGCCAATGAACTCCATTTCTCCAGGACTCTTGCTCCATGAATCTTGGTTAGCAGCCCACAGGCCAAAGGAGGGACGCTTAAACCGAGATTGCAAACGGGAGCCCTAGGAGTATCTGTCTCTTAGGGGGGTTGAATCTTCCTGACGAAGAGGAACGGAAATGGGGGTCAGAGAACATGCCAACCTGACGTGAAAAGAGGAAGGGAATTGTGTGTGTGGAAGGTCAAAGATCTCAGCCCCCAGGGATCTAAAAATACAGCCTGCCAGAATCCCTCAGCCAGGCTGCCGCTACCAGGCCGGCCAGGGGTGATTCATCCTCTCAGACTTGCTTCAGACCCAGCACGGATTGCTCAAAACCATTTGGAGAAACAACATGGAGGCTTCCCAGTGAATCATAACCCTGGGCACAGCCCGAAACTAGGCCAAAGGTGGCCGGGTCCGAATTTCAACACCCTCAGCCCCATTATCTGTGGTCCTCCATCAGCAGTTTTTTTTCAAAGGGAAGGGTGAACGGCTCCAGTGGTTAGAGCAATTAGAAAGATAAATCCTTTCACGGGGAATTAGGACGGTCAGGGAATTAGGAAGGGGGTTATTAAGTCACCTGTGGAGTGCTATGGCAGCCAACCGCAGGTTTCAAGACAAAATGAAGTGGAGGAGGGAAGGGAAGGGAAGGGAAGGGAAGGGAAGGGAAGGGAAGGGGAAGGGAAAGGGCAGGGAAGGAAAGGAAAGGAAAGGAAAGGAAAGGAAAGGAAAGGAAAGGAGGTGAAGGGAAGGGAAAGGAAAAGAAGTGGAAGAGAAGGAAAGGAAAGGAAAATGGGAAGGAAAGGAGGTGAAGGGAAGGGAAAGGAAAGGAAGTGGAAGAGAAGGAAAGGAAAATGGAAAGGAAAGGAAGTGGAAGAGAAGGAAAGGAAAGGAAGTGGAAGAGAAGGAAAGGAAAATGGAAAGGAAAGGAAAAAGGGGAGGGAGGGGAAGGGAAAGGAAAGGAAAGGAAGGAGAAAGGAAAGGAAGTGGAAGAGAAGGAAAGGAAAGGGGAGGGGAGGAGAGGAAAGGGGAGGGGAGGAGAGGAAAGGAAGAAGGAAAAGGGGAAGGAGGATGGATAAGGAAAGGAAAGGAAGAAGAAAAAAGAAAAAGAGAAAAGGAAGGAAGGAAGGAGTTGAAAATAAGAGGAAGGAAAGGGAGAAGAAAAAGAAGAAAGGAAGGAAAGAAAGAAGGAGTTGGAAATGAGAGAAAGGAAAGGAAGAAGAAAAAGGAGAAAGAGGATGAATAAGGAAAGGAAAGGAAGAAGCAAGAAGAAGGAAGGAATTGGAAATGAGAAGAAGGGAAGGCGAGTTAAGGAGAGGAAAGGGAAGAGAAAGAAATGGGAGGATCCAAAGATTTTGATAAGGATTGTGGAAAAGCAGAACCTCACATGTATTTAAAGGATGGGCTGCTGACATTTCCAGAGCCGTGACACAACACAACCCCCTCTGACAACCCCTTCCTCCTTGCGCCAAGGAAAAATACCCCTAAACTCGGAATTTTGATCAAGCCCCAAACGCATTCTCCCTTTTGGAGAAACATCGGTCTCAGCCAGGACGGTGGGCCTTCTCAGCCCCTGCCTCTCAGGCTCTGGGACCCAGGTCCTCCCAATCCCCTAATCATGGAGTGGAGACCCCCAAGATGTACTGCTGGCCGTTAACACACTCACCAAGCATGTTGGTGGGCATGCCGAGAAGGGTGTGTAGCAGATCGTGGACTTCCCGGTAACGCTGGATGACGTAGGCCAGGTCTTCGTCGTCTATGAACCGGGCTGGCATCCTTGTGTCTGGAGACACCCTCTGCCCGTCGGGAAATTTTTTTAAAAAAAGGGAAAGCCAATATTAATTTCCTAGATAAGGAAGGCCCTAGCTATGCACAAACGCCAGCCGCCCCGGGATGATTCCTTGACTGATTTTATTGTAATTTCTTTGCTTGACCGTCGTGAGCCACCCGGAGTGGTTGAGAGTTGGGGGGCATACAAGTCTAATCAATTATTATTACTATTACTATTACTATTGTTGTTGTTGTTCTCAATTCAAAGGAGCCACCGATGGGCCAAGGAAGATGGAGAGACCGTCTACTGATGGTTAAACCAGAAGCCGGCCACCAGGTGTACTCTGGATGTTTCAGACAACAAAGCCCATAGTGCTTTGCCTTGGGCCATTCATCCACAACCAGTTCCGGGTTCAGTTATGCTCCTAAATTGAGAATTGCAGTCAATATTTGTAGCTCAGGGTTGAAATGAGGGGTCCTTGGTGCTCTCTGAGCTTGGCTGTTTTCTTGCAGACGTTTCATGACCTGGCTAGGTAACATCATCAGTGTTAGAAGGGAGGGGGGTTTGTGGAGTGGGGGACAAGAAAGGGAGGAGGAGGGAGAGGAGTACTGTGGGGTCCTTGGTGGTCTCTGAGCTTAGTTGTTTTCTTGCAGACATTTCATGACCCAACTAGGTAACATCATCGGTGCTAGAAGGGAATGGGGTTAGTGGAGAGGAGGAGGAGGAGGAGGAGGAGGAGGAGGAGGAGGAGGACGATGACGACTGTGGGGTCCTTGGTGCTATCTGAGCTTGGTTGTTTTCTTGTAGACGTTTCATGACCCAACTAGGTAATATCATCAGTGCTAGAACGGAGTCTCCTCCTCCTCCGCTCCACCAACCCCACTCCCTTCTAGCACTGATGATGTTAGCAATTAGGTCATGAAACGTCTGCAAGAAAACAAGCAAGCTCAGAGAGCACCAAGGGCCCCACATTATGCCTCCTCTCTGCAAATTCCACTCCCTTCTATCACTGATGATGTTCCCTAGTTGGGTCATGAAATGTCTGCAAGAAAACAACCCCGTTGTCGTTGTCCTCCTCCTCCTCCTCCATCCCACTCTCTCCTAGCACTGATGATGTTCCCTAGTTTGGCGAATGAAACGTCTGCAAGAAAACAACCCCACAGTCATTGTCATCGTCGTCATCGTCCTCCTCCTCCTCTCATCCCACACTCTCTCCTAGCACTGATGATGTTCCCTAGTTTGGCGAATGAAACGTCTGCAAGCTCAAAGGGCACCAAAGATTTGCTTTTCGAACAGAAACAGAAATTCACCGTGCCTCCTAGGGCAAACGCTCTTTGAAAGCCGAGCTGTGACAGTACGCACATTATCATCCAGGAAGCGAATGTATTCTCGGCCGAAGGTCCCGTCGGGAAGCCCCCGAAGTCCAGCTACATCCAGGGTGGAAAGGCGGATCCGAGGCCGCTCTCTGCGAAGGAAAACAATGGAATGGCAGGCAGCAGCTCAGCTCGGGAAAGTGTCCATTGGATACACGGTGGGCCTCTCTTTAGGGATTAGTTTGGTCCAACGGAGGTGAGGTCGACTGGCCCCAGTCTTCCCTTGGTTTTGTGGGATCAGCTCGTAAACCAAGATTCCTCTCTTTATGGGGGCTTTTTCAACGAATGCTGGTTAAGCACAAGGTGCCAAGCTCACCAGTGCCACTAGACCAGGGGTAGGCAACCTTGGCTCTTTTATGACTGGTGGACTTCAACTCCCAGAATTCCTGAGCCAGCCATGCTGAGGGGAAAGGGAGAGGTTTCTATGCTGAGCTATGTTGGCTCAGGAATTCTGGGAGTTGAAGTCCACGAGTCATAAAGCGGCCTAGGCCTAGGCCAGAGGTAGGCAACCTTGGCTCTTTTATGACTCGTGGACTTCAACTCCCAGAATTCCTGAGCCAGCCACGCTGAGGGGAAAGGGAGGTTTCCAAGCTGAGCCATGCTGGCTCAGGAATTCTGGAACTTGAAGTCCACGAGTCATAAAAGAGCCAAGGTTGCCTACCCCTGTATTAGGCCAAGCCTTGGTCGTGGAAGACTTCCAACTGGGCTGGTTTCTAACCTACACAGCTTTCAATAAAAATATAAATAAACTTCTCAGCTTTTGGGCCCCAATGGTGTTAAGAGTACCGGTAGTCCTCAAGTTACGACGGAACCCGACATTTCTGCTCTAATTGACAGATTTTTTTTTAAGTGTTGCCCCATTTGATGGCCATTCTTGCCATAGTTGTTAAGTCAATCACTGCATTGTTAAGTTGGCAACACAGTTGTTAAATGAATCTTGGTTCCCCCGTTGACTTTGCCTTGCAGAAGGTCGACAAAGGGGATTGTATGACTCCGGGACACTGCAACCGTCATAAATACGAGTCAGTTGCCAAGCGTCTGAATTTTGGTCACGTGACCGCGGGGGATGCTGCAAAGTGTGAAAAATGGTCGTAAGTCACTTTTCTTCAGTGCCGTTGTAACTTTAAACGGTCACTAAATGCACTGCCGTAAGTGGTGGACTTCCTGCAGTGAAAGTGTATTCACTAATTCACAGAAGTTTTTTTCAGATTTATCTCCTTAAAAATCATCCCGTCTGTCCGGGCTGCAGGCTAAAAGAAAGAGATTCACTTACTGGAGGATCTGCCTTCCTTCCGGGTCGTTCTTCATCTGTTCCCAGAGATTCTTTAAAGCTATTGAACCCGTTGTCTCTCCCAGGACAGCTACCATATCTGGAAGGAGGAGGGAAGAAAAAAGGAGAGGGAGTGATACAACACAGCCGTAGTAGCAATGGCAGTAGCAGTTGGACTTATATACCGCTTCACAGTGCTTTAAAGCCCTCTCTGAGAGACAGATAATAGACATAGACAGACAGACAGACAGACAGACAGACAGACAGACAGACAGACAGATAGATAGATAATAGGCATAGTTACATAAATAGAGAGAGAGAGAGAGATACGGAGATAGATAGGTAGATAGATAGATAGATAGATAGATAGATAGATAGATAGATAG